AGAGGGAAAAACGCGTGGTGTCTGTCTTCTCGCGCGCAAAAGACGTAGAAATACTGGACACATTAGACTTACATTTTTCTCCATTCACTTCACTTTCTGAATGTAGTACTTGTACTGTTAACAACCTTTGGTGTTTCTTCAAAAACCTTGTGTTGCAGTGCGTTCATGACTTTGTGCCAGAAAAAGTGAAAATAATAAAAAATGTTAGCCCATGGATTACTATGCCAGTTGTTCGTTTGGGGCGAAAGGCAAACAGGATAAGAAAACAGCATCGTCAGAACCCCACTCCGTCGACCATGCTTAAAGTCAAAAACGTGCGTAAAGAATTAAAAGACAGTATCAAGGAAGCAAAAGATCAGTACTATAATGTCACTTTAGAAAACTTCTTGCTGTCATTTCCAGCAAAATTCTGGCAGCATTTTGCCCCAAACAAGAAGCGCTTTCATAATATATGTGTAAATGGGACTATCGTAACTAATAAACTATTGCAGAATCATTTAACACGTTTTTTTGTTCGGTGTTTACTGATGACGATGGGAGAAGGCCATGTTCAACAACGCTTCATGATATTCCACCAATAAGTGACCTTGCAATATCTGAGGAAGGAATCTTGTCTCTGCTTCTTAACATAGATCGCCAAAAAGACGCCTGGTATTGATAGCATACCTAACGCGTTCCTTGTGAGGTATGCTGAATGGTGCTCGAAGTTTTTGTGCATCCTTTTTCAGAAGTCACTGTCACAGCGCGCGCTTCCAGATGACTGGAAATTCGGAAAAATTATCCCTATACCCAAATCACCTAACACTTCTCTCGTCTCCGCCTATAGACCGATTTTCCTGTTTTGCTCATGTGCGAAGGTATTAGAACATATTATATTCAAGCACCTCTCAGTTTTTCTCGAGGAAAAAAGTTTAATCAATGACCGACAACACGGCTTTCGAAAAGGATTCTCAACCGTCACACAACTGTTGGAAACCGTTCATGACATTGCAGTGATTCTAGATAGGCAAGGCCAGATTGACATGATTTTCCTAGACTTCGAAAAAGCATTTGATCGCGTGTCGCATCCAAAACTTCTCGCAAAACTCAAATTTATACTAAAAAACCGTACATTAACTTCATGGATTGAGGCCTGCCTTTCTTATCGAAATCGTTTCTATAGATAACGTCCAGTCTGATTCACGACCGGTGAAATCGGGAATCTCTCAGGGTTCTCTGCTTGGGCCACTTCTTTTTTAAAATTTTATAGACGACATTGCCAATGATATCCCGGTTTCTATTAAGTTATTTGCAGATGATTGCATTCTTTATCAGGAAATACGTAGTGCAGACGACCAGGTTCTTTTAAATGCAGCGTTAACAAAAATATCTTCTTGGTGTGCAGTGTGGCAAATGAAGATTAATGAAAAGAAAACGGTAGCTATGACCGTTACGCGCAAGCGGCTTCCTTTGAAACACTCATATTCCATCAATGGTCAAAAACTATCGTTTGTTAAAACTTATAAATATTTGGGGGTTGTATTAAGTGCAGAATTTAAGTGGAATGAGCCTGCTGCCTACATTGACAAGAAAGCTTTACAGAAACTAGCACTTCTAAGACGGTCTTTGTGCAAATCTACCTCAAAATTAAAATTAATTGCGTATAAAACTTTTATTATCCGCCCGATCCTCGAGTACTCATCTGTGGTTTCGGACCCTCATAGCCAAGTAAATATTAAAACACTTGAAATGATTCAAAGAAAAGCAATCCGATTTGTATATAATCGCTACAGTGCTCTTACGTCACCCAGTGAACTGTTAAAAAAAGCTGACTTGGATACATTGCAGGCAAGACGGCAACACGATCGATTGAAGTACATGTTTCTACTTTACCACGACAAGCTACGCATAGACAAGCACGCGTACATAAAAACGGTTCACCGCCGATCAACTCGTTCCAAGCATCCAAAAAAACTGAAGGAATATTCCTGTCAAACAAAAGTCTTTAAAAGCTCATTTTTTTACGCGTACTGTCACTAATTGGAATGCTCTTTCTGCCGATCTGCTGAACTGCGAAACCGCTCAGTCGTTCATGGGAAAACTTAGACCAGCAACCCACTTGACTTTGATCTTTCTTTGCGCTTCACCCTCTATTATTCCACCGCGCATCCTGAACAGGCTTCCATTTATGTTCCACTTCCTATCACTTTTTCATATCAATGCATTGTATTTTTGAAATGTTGCCGATTTTTGAATTGTTATATGATGTTTGTTTCTTAGTTCTGTATGAGCAGATGTTTGTCATCAGTTTTTTTTTTGGTACGTGTACGCGTAAACCACTACAATTGTGTAAGTACTGGCTTTTTGCTTTGATGCACTAGTTCTTGATGGTGTAGCTCTACGTGACGTGTTTCCTTTCCTGTTGTATCTTCATATTTGTTTCCTTTTTTGTATCACCCACCCCTGCCTAAGGCCTCATGTATGAGGCTGGGAGTACTTCTGAAATAAATAAATAAATATTCAATGCAATTATGAAGGAGAATTTTCTGAATGTATTTTTGGAATTTTTTCTATTTGGGTCAACAAAATTTTCAAGTTTGTTGAGGAGACTGGGTATTTGATAGTATGTTGCTGACCATAGGTGGTCCTAGTTCTCGGTGTTCTTATGCCAGGTGTACGGAGACAGTACTCAACACACCGAGAAGAATCAAACATGGGGTATAGTTTATTGTTTATGTACAAAAGTAACTTGTTAACTTGTAGTAATATATTTGGTTTGCTTGTAATAAGAAATATTTCCAAAATAACGGAAGTCTGCTAAAATCTTGTGGCTGACCGTAGTACCCGTCGATTAGTTGTTGTACTTTTTTCTGTAACGTGAGTAACGTCCTATAGTTCTGTGCTGTCGTTCCCCAACACAAGACGCAATAACTTAGCCTGGAGTAGAACAGAGTAGAACGCTTTCTTTAGCCAAAGGGTAATGGTAGAAATAGTCTGTATATAGATCCAATGCTTCTACTTAAGTTTGTTACTAATTTATTTATTTGTTCATTCCAAGAAAGGTCTTCCTGGAACCACACGCCTAAGAATTTTTGTACCCTTACTTGTTCTAAAGGCTGGCTCTCAAAGGAGACATTTATACTAATGTTTCGTGGCTTGTTGATAGGCGCAAACAACACAAATTTAGTTTCACTCGCATTTAGTCGCAACTTCTTAAGTTTAAACCAGCAAGACAACTTATTTGAATATGTGTTCACAGTACTTTGAAGTTCAGGGATTGAGTAACCAGCAAAAAAAAATATTGGTGTCGTCAGCATACATGATTAATTTAGGAGAACCCGGAATATCACATAAGTTGTTAACATAAACTATAAACAAGAGAGGGCCAAGTATCGATCCTTGTGGCGCACCTGTGTGAACATTGGCATGTGGAGATATCTCTTGATTGATAGCAACATACTGATAGTGCTCTGTTAAGTAATTCCATAGTAATTTATTACGAACCCCACGCACACCGTAGTTATTAAGCTTTTCTAAAAGAACACTATGGTGCAAGGTGTCGAACGCTTTACGAAAATCAACAAAAAGTCTGAGCGTATATAGTTTTTTCTCAAGATTGCTTAGTATCTAATTTTTTATATTAAGTAATGCAAGCTCGCTAGATTTGCATTTTTGAAAGCCAAATTTGGCATCACTTATGACATTGTACTTCGCAAAAAATTTTTGTAATCTAATATTAATAGCACTCTCAAAAACTTTTGACCGAATCGGTAGTACCGATATTGGTCGATAATTTGCAATTTCTCGGTTATTGCCACCCTTTAAAACCGGGCACATGCGAGCTATTTTTAATTCATCAGGAAACATGCCGGTAGCAAAAGTCAAGTTAGTAATATGTGTCACCGCAGGGCATATAACATTGGCGACATATTTTATTGGTATAGGTTTAATGTCATCATAGTCTGCTGCACAACCTGCTGCACAATTCATGCTATCAATCAGATAATATAGAAATGTGCAGAATCTCAATTGATTCAATTGATGTGCAGAATCTCAATAAAACATTGTTAGTGTGCATACTGGAGTGGTGCTTCGCTGCATTTTTGTTGTACTGTATGCAGTTCGTAGCACAAATTGCCGACTTTTTAGATGCGGAGCATCTAATACTCGAGGCTTGTAGTGCGGCGCCGTCCGCAAGCTTCCTCCTCCTTCTTCCACCATCTGTGCATCCCTTCCTCCTCTACACACCGCGCGCGCTTCACTCCTCCACCATCTGTGCACCCTTCCTCCTCTACACACCGTGTGCGCTTCTCCTCTTCACGAACATTCGCTAGCTGTATAATGTAGCGCGCATGCGCCGTCACGCTTCAAGAACATCGGCAGTTGACGCGCGCGCATGCGCCGTTGCGCTTCGAGAACATCGGCAGCTGACGCGCCCGCATGCGCCGTTGCGCTTCTCCCCCTTCTCGAACATTCGACAGCTGACAGTGCATGCGCCGTCGCGCTGTATATATACTCAAGGTCGGCGCTCGCTCGCTCAGTTGCCGCTCGTCGGTTGGTTTGTACGGCGCGTCGACGTCCAAGGTCGCGGTGAAATGAATTCCAACGAATCCACAAACACAATGATCGACGTCCCTTCGACCAGCGCCGCCCTTTCGCATACGTGTGTACGTGTTCACTCATTTAACACCCCCTTCTACAACCACGTTAACCAATTTAGCCATCGACCCAAGTAAGTCGCAATTTAACACCCCATTTCACAACCACGTTAACCAATTTAGCCATCGACCCAAGTAAGTCGCACTTTAACACCCCGTTAACCAATTATATGCTCCGCATCCTCCTCAGTGTTCCCCCGAGGGAAGCTGCGGGCAATTTTTTTTCTCCAAGCTGATCCAGCAATTTTTGCCTATTGTGTTTCATACCTGCTTTCGAGGCTAAGTGTGCCATGTGAATAACATCTGCACTGTTACAGGAGATTCCCCCCACTGAGGTTACTTGAAAGAAGTTTGTTATTGCAGAGAAAAAAGAGCTGAAAAGGAAGCTCAAGGACAAGCACGAGTTGACTCAATCCCTGCTCGATGACTGTAATGGATACAAGGACAAGCTGTTGGCCAAGATGGAAGAGCTGGAATCACTCAAGCAGGTCAGTAGTCCAGGCTTGAAACATATCTTTCTCTGCAAAATACTGCAGCACAAGAAGTTGTGCATGTACGAAACAGCGCCGATATGGATGACCGAACAACTTCCAACAACTTTTATGTGCACATGCACGCACACGCACTGTCCAATTGAGCATAGATATACTTTATCACATTACTGATTATCTGAAAATTGTGATGTAGGTTGCACATCTCTTCCTAAGGTTGGAAATGCATTCAGATTAAGCAGTTACTTGTATCCTGTGTGCGTTGCTTTTTGTAATGGAAGGAGCGTTTTCTAGATTGTAAAAACAATTCCGATGAGTTCTGTACGGGCTAGCCAGAAAATAGGAGTGTGCATATATTTGGAAAGCTTGAATAATGAATCGGATTGTGTTCTATTCGATATGGTACATAATGATCTGTTTGATGCGATACTCAACTGCTGATTTTCGAATGCCCGATTTTTCGGACATGCCTGGAAATTCAGACACCATCGCTGTATCGTCATAAGCCCCTTTAAAGGAGTACTTATGTTATTTTGAGGCACCCCAAAAGGGACATTTTTAATTTTCACAGGGGTGTAAGTGCTGCCCCAAGTGCGCCATGCTGCACCAATCTGACCTAGGCCGCGCCTAAATGGCAATTTGCACGCGCAACGCCAAATTTAGTCTAGAGTTTTATCATCGGTCGAGCAACACGTGTTGCTTACACAAAAGACGCAACCGCATCCATATAAAAATCCGTGCCCATATCAAACGTCGTATTTCGGATCATGCATGAACTTTGTGTCATGTGAACACAATGCATAATTGTTAATGTGGCGTTTGTGTGCATACCTCATTATACGACTCTATATATGTTTTAACAACAAAGCTGTTAGGCAAACTATAAAGACGGCAGTGGTGTTGCAAAAAACTAGCCGCATGCTGTGCTTGGTGGTTGGTCGGCAACGGTGCGGCTAGTCTTTTGTCATATAAACTAAAAAATTAAATAAAAATTAGTGTCACCGGCGAAGCGATGTCCGCAATAGCAACAATTTGTGATGTTGTAATGGTGATGCCGCACGCACTCCTTTCTTTCTATTTTTGTTACCGCATCAATACGCGTGTAACGCTGCCTTGCGCAAACCGCGCCTGAATGACTGGGGATCATTACATAATCTTAAAACCTTTCAATGAGATTACGCGCACAACGTGTACATAAATGTTTTTTTTTGAACTTTGCGGCCGCTAGCGATAACGTTAGAATCTTCGATGGCATACGCATAAATGCCATACGCATAATTATCGACGGCCGACGCTTTGTGTTTGCTGTTATAAGTCTACATCGTGTATTGCTTGTATAGTGACGTTTCAGTTTCTGGGCACAGGTTATCCCAAATAGATCACTCGTGAAAACAGCTGCTGCTGCCTTCGTCGACATCATGACCCCGTGACAATATGAAAGCGGACATCTAGCTCTTTTGTATCTGATATCACCACACTCTCACAACTACAAAATTGTGGTGTAAGAGAATAAGTACATAAGCTCCAGGGAGAAATTCTCTTCTCGCGCAATCTCTTCCCGTTGAGAGCGCACCACGTAGAAGGCTTTACGAGCCGTGCGCTGATGCTTGCCGATATCGCGTGCGCCAGCTATCGCAACCACGTCCTCGTTAGAATCAAAGTTCCCGGGTGCTGCTCGAGCTACCTACCTTTCCCCTGCGTCTTTTCATGATTGTTCAGGACGAGCGGCGTGTTTCCTCTCTGCTTGAGCATTCAATGGTAGTTCTAGCATACGGTGAGATGCTGACGCGTGCGCACCCCAAGCGACGGAGATTGTCCGTCTCGTTTAATCTCTGCTTGAGCAGTGCACATCACCCCAGCTTGCGCAATTTTACGCGCGGGTCGAACGTACGATGCGTGGGGATTGATACCAACTTGTAGTTTAGGCGGAACATGGCGACAATGGAGAAAACCCGTCGATTGTCCATAGATTTCCAACCTTAATTAATAAAAGAAGTCACACTTTCGCCAAAAGGGCAAAGGCGCCATTTTTCGTGTTGAGAGCTCATCCCATAAAAGCTCCCGCCTGCTGTGGGCGCACAAGCCGCGTGCTGTTCATTACCGCGATAGCGCAACAACCAAAAGCACCCTCCCTCCCCCATTTGCTCATGAGATAAGCGCACGTGCAGACAACCCCAACCGAAAGGTGATGTTTGCTCCACAGAAAGAGGAAGCTAGCGCATCCTTTCCCACTACACACACACACACACACACACACACACACACACACACACACACACACACACACACACACACACACACACACACACACACGCACGCACACACACACACAGAGAGAGAGAGAGAGAGAGAGAGAGAGAGAGAGAGAGAGAGAGAGAGAGAGAGAGAGAGAGAGATAGTCGTTGACCGATTTTTCGGATGGACTCCAAAAATTCCGACTTGTTGGATATTTTGGACTTCAAAATTGTACCGTCAGGGTTCCCATAAGGCTAATTCATTTTTTAAACCAATTTTTTGGATGAATTCGTCTCCCAAAGTTGGATTTTTCGGACTAAATCGCATGTTTTGAACTGCGCCACGAACCTGTATGAACGCGGCCATGTTGAATTTTCTGACGGCTTGACTAAGCTCAGTGGCTCAATTTTAAAATGGCTTTCCTGCCTCCAAGATTGGAAAGCAAACGTCATATTTGAGGTTTCGGAGGCCGTGCCTGCTTTAGGAAAAGTGGGACGGCACCATTTTCTCGTCTTCGGTCAGCCGTAGTGGTCAGCACTGTCGTCATCGCACCGCACAGGGAGGGGTGGGGGGGGCTGCGCAGTAGTGAAGTGAATGTGCCTGCCACAATGAAATATTCGCTCGTGCGGACGATGACAATTTCGTGCGCAGAGCCCACAGGCGAAGAACTTCTTTGCCAGGCTGTGCCGCAGCCGGAGAGCAGTTCGGATGAGAACAACAATGATCGCCCGCAGCTGTCGGCAGCGTAGATCGCCACCGCGGTAACAATGTCACCTTGGCGTAAATATGGCGGAACCAAATTGCTTCCAAGCGTAGTATGAGGCAAGGCAGAATCATGGACCTTCTTAAGCCTGCCTGATGCAATATAAAGTTCATATTTCTGACAAAAACGAATTTTTCGGACTGTTCAACTTTTCGGACTTTTTTTCGGTCCCCGCCAGGTCCGAAAAATCGGTCGGCGACTGCACGTGAATGACGGCGGCGACGATGATGGCAAAAATCATCCGAGACAATACAAATTCACTCAATTGCCTAGCAATGGAGCAGTGAGTGCATCTAAATTCCCTCGTGGTTCTTATGTTGGCTGTGCCACTTCAATGACGGGAACATAAGTTTTTTTTACATTTATTATTATAGACATTTATTATACATTTATTTACCTTTATACATTTATTTACATTTACTTGTGTAGAAAACATTTATTATATAGTAACTCATCTCTAGTCTTGAGTTGCCGTTCATGTTGGATGCGGTGTTTTAATCACATTTCGAGCATTGCAACATTTTAACATTAAATTTTTTCATTCGTCTGAAGTCTAGTAGCTGTCCAGAAGGTCGCTTGTGTTTTTTTCTTTGTAGTTGCTGTACTTTCCCCTTTGATGATGTAAGGTTTAATGAATACTCATTTTGGGTAAGTCTGGTTACTTGATCAGCACCACATGCTTAGTAAAAACCACTGAATTTTTTTGTGTTTACCAGAAAGAAAAAATGGTAATTAACAGTGATGTGTGGCTCGAGAAATCTGCTCCAAAACTAAATTTTGTGCTCCAAAACACAACTTTTGCTGCTCCAGAGCTCTCCAAAATGCCCTCTTTACATCTCCAAATCTGCTCCAAAACTGCATTATTCCTGCTCCCAAAGCTGATCCACAGTACTGAAGCCCGCTTTCACCCGTTTCCATGGCTTGCACCATTAATATTAACGTTCTTCACACACCGGAGCCAGACAACACGTCGAAAATATTTTACATTGATATTAAAGTTCGTCATCCAGTATCATCGAAAGCAGCCCTACTGCAATGGACATTATTACGACAAGTCAACATAGTTCCCTGGGTATGAGAAATTTTCATTCTGCATGCAGCCTATATCGCAGAAATTGCTTCAAGTCTCTCTGGGTTGTAATTCACTCATCGTTGTTTACATGAACCACGTGTGACTGACAGTAAACCGACTGCGGTTGCTAGTATGCCGTGAGGTGCAGCCGTCCCATGACATCAGACACCTCTTGACACGTTGCTGCGAAGCCACCAACCACTCGATACTGAAACCGAAATCGTTGTTTTAAGATAGCAGTATTAAAGATGTATTCAGTGACTATCCAAGTACCATGACGCTCTTTTTAGGGTTCTTGACACCCGTGTTTTTATTTAAAGCGACAACCTGAAATTATTTAAAATTTGTGCCAGTATTTTTTAAGACGTCTCTGTATAAGAACGTATGAAATATCGTATCACCGGATAGCGTTTGTCCAGACCCTGCCAAGTTTTGCACAGTCGCCGATTTTCTGAAACCAAACCACCTAAAGAAGCTTTGTAATTTTGTCGGCCTGTCGTCATAATTCCTATGCTTCATTCAAAGTTTCACCTCTATATGTGGGCCGTTGACAGACTTTCTTAGTGGTCACTTGGACCTTTCTGTTTGGTCACCAGTTGACGTTGCCTTCACCAAAATGCTGCCTGCTAACTTCATTGCCCTTCCTCTACAACATCGATGCTGCTGCTCTGAAGTTTTACACTGATACCAGGGGTGTTGGACTTGGCGCTGCGCTAAAAGCAGGACTTGGTAAATATGTCATCGCCTACACTAGTCGACTTATTATAAAAGCCGAGGCTAACTACTCTGTTACCGAGAAGGGCGTGTAGCCTTTGTATTTTGGCCTTCAGGAATCTTTCGCCCTTACCTATCATGCATTTGATGTCACTGACCACTACTGCCATTTGTTGGTCATCCTTCTGTATGACTAGCTTGCTGGGCCCTCAA